CCCGCGAATCCCCCCGGCCAGCATGGCTGGCTGGGGAATTCTGGGAGTTGAAGTCCAGACATCTTAAAGTGGCCAAGATTGAGAAACACTAATACACGCTGAGCATATCCTGCTCAGTTGCTTTTTTCTAAGCTTAAAATGTGCCCATCACTCTCCCCTTTCCTTGCAAGGCAGCTGTGTGAGCTCCCTGATCCTTTTGGCTACTGAACTGGTTGGGCAGGGCTTTGGTTAGGCCCTAACCGCAGTGGAGGAAAATCCCCCACTTTGTGCCAAAGTCAAGGGCCATTTGCTCCCCTCCTCTTTCTCCTCTCCCCAGGGTCCATGTTTTCACAAGCAATGAAGAAATGGGTGCAAGGGAACACAGACGAGGTAAGGCGCTCCGATGCTCCGCGCTTGGCGGAGAAGTCAGATACTGCGTCCACTCCTGGCCATCCCCAAAGAACCTCCCTTGCCTCTGCACGGACGTGCAGATGTCTCTGTTTTATGTCAGAAATCCAGAGCAACCAAAAATCCCTCCCCAGGAAGGAAAAAAAAAGTTGCAGGGTGAGCCCCCTCTGAATACTCTGGAAGTTAAGCCTCAGATCAGCTTGACTCCTCCTGGTCCTTTGGGGGCCAGAGGAATTGCCTGGCACGAAGCCGGGAAGTGGGGAGGCAAGGGTCCTGGGGTGTGGGCTTCCTTCTGCTTGCTCGTGGCAGTCCAGAGCGCCCTGTTCCGACCGAGTTCCTTGGTCTGCTCTTAGGCCCAGGAGGAGATGGCCTGGAGGATAGCGAAGATGATCGTTAACGATGTCATGCAGCAGGCCCAGCCCCCAGAGGCAGCTGTCGAAAAAGTGACTAAGGTAACGGGCAGCCTGTTTCTCGCCCGCCTTTGGTTGAGGTGCTCCAGGATCTCCTGGTGCTGGCGCATCAGGGGACTTGTTTGGCAGGCAGGTCTGGCAGGTAAACAGTCCCCAGAGCCTGCGCAAGAGCTGGGCCCCCCTGCTGGGACTACGTGGCCTTCTCCTCCTCAAGGGAGAGCAGCTTCAGTAGCTGCTTGTGCCCAGCCCCGTCCCAGGCGCTTCCCACGGGCAGCTGTTGCCCACCCCAAAGTGGATCCCTGCATCCCATTCACAGCAAAGCTAAGAAATCTGGCTTTCTGGAACCTCTTTCTGAAGAGATGCAGCTGTTTGTGCCGTCTGAATCCCAGAGCCATGTGCCTGCGTGGTCACTATTATCAGAATCTTCCACAGCGGAACACAACCCTTAGCGTGCCTTTTCCTGGGCACCCTTCCCAGTCTCCCTGTTTCTTTTTGGCTGCAGCATGGCAAGGATTCTTCTCCAGAATCCCTTTGTGAGACTGAGGAAATGTGACTTTTTTCTCTGTGGTTCTACCAATTCCCCCCCCCCCCCCCAGTTTTTGGACCTCACAGACATTAAATATCAAAGAATTTCTGGGAGAGAAGGAGATCAGTGCCAGCATAAACAGCTATGAGCTGGTGGCCTTCCCCGGCCTTTTCCTGAAGTCTCCCGAGCCTCTTGCTGTTGGCAAGATCCTTTGGGGTGTGAAATTCACCTCGCAGGGCTGGAGTTTGCAAACTGCACCAGACGATAATGCCGTGGTTTTAAAAAAATATCAGCAACAGGGCAGAATTTGGTCTTGGTCCCTCTTTCACTTAGCTATCGACCTTTGCAACTGAGTGTTTGGTGAGATATTTCCTTCCCTAGGAACCAGCCTTGGCCAGGCACTCACGCTGAGCTAGACCTGTCTGGCCTCCCCTGAGTGGACGCTCCATCTCCAACCCTTCGATCTTCCTCAAGACTAGATTTCTTCAGATCAGTGAAGGACAAGCAACATTCAGTTCTGTACTAGAGCAGAGAGTTGACGGGACGAATGCCTCCAGTGCGTTTCCTCAAATCCGACATTTGCAAGGTCCCCCACTATCTCCTTCCGGTTCTGCATCTTGATCATCCATAGTTCACCACTGCCCTCGGCCTGTCTCTTTTTCCGCTTACAAAAGAGAAGCAGGTTTTCTTCTTCAATCTAAAAGCAGGCAGATCGCCTTCTGCAGTCCGGCTGCTCAACCGAAGGGTTTCTCCCTTGCCAACACACAGGAGGCCACAGCTTTCCTAGAAACTAGCAGAAAACAATCTACAAGGAAACCCCATGCTCTGAATGGGTCTGATTTTCTGTTTATTGCAGGGAACACCATTAATCCTGTTCTTTGCCCCGCTTTGGTGTTTTTTTTAGTTTTTCTCTCTGTTTAAATCAATAAGGTTTTCTTGTCCCTCCAGATCACGTTTCATGCAGCTCATTCAGCTGAATGTGCTCCCAGGAGTAGCAGCTACGCTCTCGTTTTGCACCCAAGGCCAAAATGTTTCCATAAGGTTCTGTCAAATTTATACTATCTGTGGTCCATGTAGTACCAATGTGGAGTCTCGGTTTCTGGTTGCCACATCAGCACACATACTTGAACCCACCTGGGCACGCACCCTTGAGGGCAGCTTTTGGGGGTCACAATGACAGTAGTGCACCGAGTGGAATAAGCTTCTGAGCAGACCTGCCTTATTTTTTCCTGCTAGGAAGATAAAAACCACACGGTGACCTGATGCTTCCTTTTGATTGAAGATGGTTCCAGGGTTTCCTTTAAACAGCCTGGCACTCTTCTGGCCAGTTCTGTCTAGAGTATTTGAGTTGTGGCGGCCTAGAAATGTAAATAAATAACCCCCATCTTTCATCTTTGAATGCTTTAGATAGTATTCTTCATTCTCTGGATATGTTAAGTGGAGGATCACCTTTCAATTTTCTCTGGTTGCTCATGTCTTAAGAAAACAATTTCCAGACTCTTTGCGACTGTTTGGAAAGCGGGGAATGTCAGCTGCAGCTTCTCATATCAGTTACAGATAGTCCTCACTTAATGATCACACTAGGAACTGGAAACTTGGTCGTTAAGCGAGTCACCACATGACCAGATCCTATTTTACCACCATTTTTACAACAATTGTTAAGTGAATCACCACAGTTGTTAAGCAGTCCAGCTTCCCCATGGACGTTTTTTGCTGGAATTCATGTAACAACCACGTGATTCACTTAACAACCGTTATAAAAAAGCTTGCAAATTGTGGTCACATGACCACAGGGGGGTGCAATGGTTTGTGACAGTTGTAAGTGTGAGTACAGGTCATAAAGCACTTTTTCAAGGCCGTTGTAATTTCAAACCATCATTAAACGGTCGTTAAGTGAGGACTACTTGTAGTAAAAAAAATACCTCCTACTCTGCTCATTGAGTCACTTTTTTACAGACTCTGTCGATTGGACTATGTCAGATGTGAGTCTGGATCCACTTTCCACCTTCCTTCACTGTGTTTTTCTGGGTGTTTAGTCCCAAGCTCCCGCCCATCACTGCAAGATCAAGAGGCGATTCACCCATGTGGGTGATGTACCAAGACCAGGCTGAGAAAAATCAGCTTGCTTACTTGCCCCAGAGCTTCTTCAAAGATCACCTGGTGTCAGGCCTAGCCCAAGGAACTCCAAGAGACAATGCAAAATCAGTCCAGCTATGTTTATT